ACATTTTTTTTTGTTTATTTCAAATCATTTTATTGGGAGCTCATACAGCTCATATCACAATCCATACATCCATCCATTGTGTCAAGCACATTTGTACATTTGTTGCCATCATCATTTTCAAAACATTTGCTTTCTACTTGAAGCTTTTGTGTCAGCTTCTCATTTTACCCTCCCCCCACCCTTCCTCACAACCCCTTGATAATTTATAAATTATTATTATTGGCAAACTTTTAAATATTGTCAGGAGACACTTGTTCCCTGGAGAAGGACATCATGCTTGGTAAAATAGAGGGGCAGCAAAAAAGAGGAAGGCCCTGAAGGAGATGGGCTCAAGAACAGGAACAATTGTGAGGAGGGATCAGGAGCGGGCAGGGTTTCATTCTGTTGTGCATAAGGTCCCCATGGGTCTGAAGCACCTAACAACAACAACAACAAGCTTTTAAAAAACCCCAAACTAAGTAACAGACTGACTGCAAGATAGAACAGGACTAGCCACTGAACACACTGGTCGTGCACAAGTACCCTCAGCAGCTACCTTTCTTTGTGGTTGCCATTGTTATAAATACATCTATGACACAAAGTTTGCCCATCCAACTTCATACAGGTTTGCACCTTATTGGCAGCAAATATATTAATGGACTGTGCATCCCTCCTCTAACCAATGTGATCTCTCTTTCATCACTGTAAACCAAAAATCAGTACTTTGCAAATAATATAGATTACTAGTCTTTGTTGTGGAGTTGAAAAGTTCTGTACACATTCAGGATACTAGATCCTTGTTTTCCTTTTTTAAAAACCATCTGCTTGTTTTACTACTCATTGTGATTTTTGTAAGCATTTTCATTTTTAATCAACCCTGTTTAAAATCCTGAGAATGGGAGCAAAGTAATTCATGCTTTGCAGAAACATCAGGCGTTTGTCCTGTAGCACAAACATTCTCCACAGAACTTTTGACCGTCTCCCTTTAGCATGCAATAACAACTGTTTGTATCAGTTACCGTAGTATCACACAATGAAGACAATAGTCTGAAGTTGAGCAAATTAGCTTTCACATAAGTAGCAATTTTTGATCTGCTACTAAGGACGCTCATTCATTGTAAAGGTGTTTTTTTTTCCTTTCCTCTTTTTTGCTAGTGATACTTTCTTGATGAAGCAATGTGTTAATTTATCTTATGGTGTAAATTTATTTACTTTTATTTTATTTATTTTGTTGAAAGTACACGAGGGTAAGTCAAAAGGTATTGCTACGATGACACTGGTCCTAATTGTTGCTATGTTTGATCTTGTTGTTGCAGCCACTGTGTCAACCAATCTCATTAAGGATCTTCTGTAGTATTAAATAAAATTGTCGCTGGGGGGTGAGGTGCCAGCCCCCACCCGCTGCTTGAACTCACTGGTTCAGTAATACTACTTCTGGGTTCAATAATGCACAATTGTACGGTTGAGATATATAAGTATTATATTAAAGTCATCGAGAGCATGAGAGATAATACAATAATACAGTCAGGCATGATACACAGCAACATTGCTCACCTCAGCCCAGCTTGGTGGTCCACGTGGAGAGGGGGAAGGGAAGGAGGGAAAGGGAATAAGGGAGAGGGGAGTGACCAGGGAGTGAGCAGCAAGGAGCTCAGGGTCAGAGAGAGTCAGAGAGAGATCTATAGTGCTGGCTCACACCTATATACCTTCTGGGGGCAAGCCAGCCCACTAATTACAGGTAAAGACATACGTCACAGGAAGGGGCTGCACTATAGGTTACACAGCAATGAGAGGGTGGTCTCTGGGTCTCCATAGGAACATTATCAGTAGGGTGTAAACCCCACCTAGAGGAACCAAGCTAATGGTCCCAAAGCTTCAGAGAGAAGTAGGCCATTGTCCCCAGCAGCAGGGAGCAGGCCCAGTCCTGCTGTGGGATGAGACAGCAGTCTGGCAGCAAGTGTCTGACTTCCCCCCACAGATCTTCCTCTTGTTTGACGGCCCTGTACCTTCTCAAGCATGGTGACCCCCATAGACCCATCCTTGCTGATAACATGTCCAAAGTACATAAGACATACTCTAAGGAGCATTCTGACGGCACTTCTTCCCAGTCAGATTGTGTATTTGGCATTGTTCACCTTAATGATCTCATAGCAACCTTACAGGACAGGGTAGAACTGTCTTGGTGGGTTTGGGTTTCAGAGAGGTTTTGATCTGCATCTCTCCAATGGCTGATGATACTGTTCCCAGAAGGAGGCTCAAAGTTTCAAGCCCCTCCACTCCTTGTTTTTAGTCCAGCTTGCAAGAAAGATTTCAGGCAAAGGACAAAATTCAGACCAGACTCAGAGAAAAGATTTGGACAGAAAGAGTGAGTTTATTGACGGGGATACTTTTGGGGGCAAAGTCCAAAGGACTCTTAGGCTAGTCTTAAAGGCCCTGGGAGAAGGTAGAGTAGAACTTTATAGTCCCTAATGGAAGACCTCCTACCATTGGCTGGCTTTCTGGTAGGTTTTCTGCTATTGGCTGGTCCTCGGTTTTGTACCTCCTTTCTCCAGGTAGGTGCATCCCAGCACTCCAGACTTCCTTCTGTGCCCTTTTTCTCAGACCCGAGAGTCCATTGGGTCATTGTGGGGATAGTGTGAATATCGTGTCTTTCTCCATGTAACTTTTCACTATCTCTTCCATTGATAAGTGTTGGAAACAGATAGATTTCTCCCAAGTTGTCTCCCCCATATATATGCCAAACTTAGCTGCTTGTTAACACATGGCAAAAAGTGACACTTGGAGGTCAACAGAAGTAGATCAGGGGTTATTCTCCCTAAGGATTATCAGCCATCTAGAGCAAGCAGTCACCACTGTTTATCCCACAACAAGTAGGACCCACTCCCTTCTGATAAGGATAGTAGTTGACTGTTTCCTTGTAGGAGACCCCAGAGGTCAAGCCCACCCAAGGGTGACCAAGGTTAGGCCTCCATCATGAATCTAGGGTCTGCCCATCTTGTCGCATGTATACCTCCAGCCCCTCCCCTTCCTATGTGCACACCCCTAGCTCATCTCCTTCCTGTCACGTTTATGCCTATGTACATCCCCTTCCTAAGATGTGTTTGCCTCTTGTACTGCCCCTTCCTGTGACGTGTCGTTACCTGTAATCACCCCCCCCTAAGTAGTTACAACCCTTGGTGAGCAATAAAGTGGGGCTCTCCTACTCTCGCTCTCGGCTCTCCCCACGAGGATCCCCAAGTGGGCTGAGGTGAGCATGCTACCATGAATTGTGTCTGACTCCATTACTTCAACCTCTCTTCTATCTGTTATACTCTCTATGACTTCACTGTAATCTTTACTTATCACCACCGTACAATCGC